GGTATTTGTGAATTCGTAAACACTGGAGAGTAACGTCCCACTTTAATTAATCTACAACAAATATTGACAACATCTTTTCAAATAAATATAACTTTTGTTTAATTAACTATCTTCTGTACACTGGTAGGTCCTGGGTTCGAATCTCGGGGGTAAGGGATCGTAGATGCGCACTGCTCAGGAGTCCCATAATATGACGAAACGGCTGTCAAGTGCTTTCAGGTTTTTCATGGTGGTCTAGCTACAATTGACTCATGATTTCAACTATGAAAATAATTTAGATTTTGTTAATAATTAGATAAATTACTGCATATTCATTATTCCCTAGATTTATATGACTAACACCATACAATCGACTAGCTGTTATTCTGATAACTTTTCAGTTCGAATCGATGTATAATGGTCTCTACTGTTCCCTATATTTCTCAAAATAATGTTAGATAGAGAAGTTCACAACCCATTCAGTCTTCACACAATAAAGTTCACTAATCAAAAAGTATTATACTCATTTATCGAGGTGCCGATCGTAGTGTGTTGTATGACACATCTGACTTTCAACGTAAGTAGTAATACCAATCAATAGAGGAATGGTTGGCAACAGAAGCCCAAGAAGATCTAATTGAAGTAAACAGAAAGTAAAATAGAAGAGGATTGTGAAGTGGAAGAATCATACAGAATGTGAAAGACAATTGATTGGAGGTTTGCAAGTGAGGGATTCAATGTATGGTTCTCATATTTCACGAACACTCTTTGTTATTTTTGTATGAAATAGTAAATAGGTTATCTCCATTCAAGTTTCGTTCATTACACTACTTAGCTCACAGAATATATGACTTTTAGAGATAATCTGACTGTTTAAGTTTATCTTTCATTCAAGGATTTGAAACAGACTGATGCTGAATTTTTAGAAAACCGAATCATTATTTCCTCATTCAAGCTACTTCTTCGAATTAGCCCGAACATCATAATTGCACATCATGAATTATTTTTCAAGACGACACTTTCAACTAACTTATTGGTTATATACAGTTAACTAAAATGTACTTATACGAATATTTATGAAAATATAATTTGATTGAACACTGACAATGTTATTGTAGAGCGGGTCTATTTAATAGATTCTAATGAAACTGAATCGTTGATTCCCGTTCTTTTTGCAGACAAAATTTTAAGAAATAATATAATAAAGTGGACACACTTCTTTTACATGATCTAAAACTTGTCGAGGTTAGCAAGATGTTCAAAGGTTCTAATGTGGTAATGCATATGTGAAAGGAACTCATCCATATGACTCCATAATACTAGGCTTCTGGAGCCATGATAAGGTCTCAAAATCTCTCTCAGTCCCGATCACATAGCTTCAGTATTGTCTGTGTGCACTTCGACTGTGTAAGCTTGTCATTTTTGTTACGCATATATCTCTACAATACTCACACCACTTAACAACCAAAGCTTCAGCTAATGTTGCAGCCAATAATACTGGTGTTTTATTATACATTTAGCAAAAATCATCATAATATGCATTAGTCTGATTATCGATCGCGCGAAAGATGTCCCTATACTAGCAGACTTCTTCCTCCAACATATATTACATGGAAAGACAACATCATCACAGCAGTCTGCACAAGGTCTACATGTCACTTGATTACCACTATTACAAATAAAGGAACTTCTTCGTAGTCCTATTTGTTGTAGCCACTCAGTTATCACGTCTTCTGTAAAATCCTCTGTGAGCCTACCATACGTGATCATCAGGTATTGAAATCAGCTCCGTAACCTTAAAATCACTCAAACGCTCCTGATTGGCTCGTCCGTAAATTATAGTCTCGTCAATTTACTAATGGGATTTCAGCTCATACTCTTAACCTATAAATCCACATTTCTCAGTAGGAGAACGAAACTTATTGATCAGGTGTATTTTATTGAATATTTCGAATTATGCTTTCCATTTTGTTTAAGCAAAGGAAACGTTAGAAAATGTTTATTTTCGTTATTCATCATAGCCTGGTGGAAATGTTTTCTGGTTTTCCTAGTATTCTGTGGAATTGCACTCCAAAGAAAAGCGTAGCAAACATATTTCGAACGATAACAATAAAGCTGTTGTGCTCAGATATCTGATGAACGTATTCTATGGGTAATACTTTAGTTTTAAGTCCTACTATTTTATTATTATTATTATTAGCTTTATTCAATATTATATTTTTGATACAATATAGAATTCTCAGCACAAAGTACTTCAAAAACTTTATGATTCTTCTCCGTCATTCCTGACGATAAATATTGAGTGATCGCCATTTAGACGTTTGCAGCCCAATCAATCGACACCTGAAGAATGTACATTCTTCGCGCTGCTTATTGCCAGCAACCACGATATCTCTGATTAGGCCTTCTGTAACCTCTACAGCGAAAGGTTTTACTAATGCTTGATAAACGAATAAATAATATAGTGATTCACTTAGTATTGTTTGTTTGAATCTTCCCATCGATGCGTTAGGACTGCAACTGGTCAGTCTCTAATTGGCATATGTGCATACTGTGCGTATTGCCTCGATATACCTTAATTCACAAGTATGGTTAGCAGAGATGGATAGTGGCTAGCAGTGGAATACAGGACGCACGTTTCGTCCTATTTGGGACTCGTCAGCTGGATGTACCTGCATCTCAGAGTTGATGTTCACTCTGGGACTCGAACCCAGTACCCTCGCTTCAAAGGTTCAAACAAACAATACTAAGTGAATTCAAACTTCACTCCATCGCACAAGCAAGTGATGTGATTCTTTCAGTGACCAGTAGCTCCAACTGCATTTACCAATTTACATTTACGTGCCAAAGCACATACATTGGAAGAGAAGTGTACACGTTCGCATTTCTCAGCATGTTCCTAAGAAACTAAGGCTGCGACGGACCAGGGCTCTCAACAGTGCAATAGCTCGGCATTCACTGGACACCGGGCACACCATTGATATCTCTCGTGCTTTCAAAATCACTAGCAAACAAAGAAGTACAACTGCTCTCCGGTTTGCTGAAGCGATGGCGATAAAAAAAACTTAAACACGATCTATGTATTCAAAAAGAGACGGTGATAAACTTATTACTACCCCGGTAATCCATTTTTGTTTGTTTTAGTTTTTTCGTTATTAGTTTTATTTTAGTTCGTATTTAGTTTTTACTATATTCCTCTTCCATTACTCGATTCTTAAACAACCTTTCTCCCACACATTTCGGCTAACTTGTTTTTCTTAAATTATATGAACTCTCCAAATTCTATTCAATTATTACGCAACCTACCCCATTGGTTTTTAATTCCTTGACTCCTTCATTACCTCTAAAATTATCACACATTTGATCTTATCTGTCTATAAACTCTATTCCACTATTATGTCACCCACCCTTTATGCTTCCCTCATTCTAATACTTAATAACCTCTGACCTTTCCTTGCTCATATATGTATAGTTATCATTGATAACCTTTTGTCATTCCAATCCTTTACATTCAATTATGCCAATTGTTCCACACTATTATCTCAATACTAAAATTCTAATATATAGTTGGTTTTAAGCAGCTGATGAGAAACCACGAGATATGATGAATTCATATTATTCTGCATCAATATATGATCTGTCTTTATTTAAATTCATAAAGGGGACTAACTGCATGAAAACTACGTACGTGGTATCGCCTTATGATCACTGCGATCGGAGTCGTTGAATTACCTCCTTCAATTTTCCTCCCTCCTCATTCTTAAGCAGTTCTCATTTAAATGTGTCCACAAACTTCTCAACTAACCAGTTTAGACTGCTGATAGTACGGGGTATATTGATTTGGCTAACGGCATTGGCGATCCAAAACTTGGAAACTTCCACACAGGTAAATTCACATCCATTCTCTCGTACAAATACATTGGAGCACTAGAAACAGCTGAATACCTGGCTCCATTTTTCAAAAGTAGATTTCGTTGATACAGACTTCCGAATGTGAACTTTTGGCCATTCGGAGAAGACATCAACAATTACTGATAACTGTTTTCTCGTCAGTGGGACCGACAAAATCCACATGCGTTCTTGATCATGGATTTGTTGTTTCTCTCCAACCTTTTATTTCTGTCTTTCGAGAGGTTTTGATTACTTTAGCACATGCAGGACATTACGCATCATTCTCTTTGATTTGAGTATCAGTACATGACTAGTAGTCAACAGGTCCAATGAAAGCTGATAATTAGAGAAAAGTAAATATTTATAATCTAGTTACCTAGTAGTTACACAATAAGAATATATATATATAATAATGGTCGATGAATAAATCTTGGGAGCTACGCATAATTTAATATCTTTCGGATACAACTCTAGATGTAGATCGAAAACGGCCTAAAAATTGCATTCTTATCAGTTTCTAGGCATCATGTGAACACTACCTCAACCCCTGTATTTCTTAAAAATTCTATCTCTATACAATCTCCACTTGTTTACTCATTACTATGTGCAGTTATAATTGATAATCAAGATTATTCGAATTCATTTGGTCATCAGTGTCCATTACTTTATCTTGTATCATATGTCAATATTACACTTGGATACAAATATGGTTGTAAGCAGGTGATAATCAACCACTCATTGCAATTAATTTTTATAATTCAAACTCAGTTGTTGTTGTGCAATACGTACAAAGAACCAATGGAGTGAAATATTATACCTTAATATGTAGAACTAATGAATTGTAACCAATGAATCCTTTCAAACTCCAAATCCTTATGAAAGGTTTACGTGTAAATTCTATAACAAAAAAACAAAATATGTCTGAAAACTGTGCTCTTATCAAAATAAACTACTGAATGATCTATAAAGCTCAATTCAATGGGTGGTTCAGATATTCATGGCGCATCCTTTGAAGATTAACGGAATGGTTTTATTACTGAAATATCATGAACTATGTAAATGATCCACATTGTTATTATTAAAAACAATTGAATAGTTCATAGTTCTTCTAATTCCTAGTTTAAGTAGATTGAATACTGAATCTTGTCTATTAGAGATACCATTGAAAATCATGTTAATCATCAATTCACAAAAGTATACAAACACACACACACACACACACCAAAACTACGGTTACTTTTATCAAATTAGCCTAACTGCAGTTCAAAGTTTCATTATTGAATATAATTCTAAGATCTTTATATTATTTTCAGTATAATCCATTTTACGGGGTGTGATAAACAAACCATTAGGACAGTGGTATACAACACCGTTTCTGTAATTTATCAAGTAAGTAATGATGGATTTTGAAAGGTGAATATTCCCTTTCCTTACGATCTCACCTACTTTTATCAATTCTATGAACCATGATTTTCCATATTTTCATAAAGCGAAAATCATTCATCATCAGCAATGCAAAGGTATATCAAAGACCGAAAACGTTTCAATCAATGTCATCTTATTCTATAATGATCGACCAAAAATACTGTCTAATAATAGGAGGATAATTATATACTTGACAGTCAGTTAATTACTCAGTTATTCCACTAAATTAACGTGATTCAATAAGATCAACGAAATGACCAAGTATCAAATTGTATTCAGTCTTTTCTTTCTACTTTCACTGCACTTCATTTTCATATATTTATATCATTGGAAATGTTAGGAAACGGCATCATATTTTCTTCTATTTCTAGATACACTTGAAGAAATGTTTGCTGATCTATACGATAGTTCATGGATGTACAACACAGGTAGCAAAGTTACAATTATATTGAACGGTAGTAATATTTCTGCTCTATCAGAGTATACGAAAATGGTATGATATGATGAATATTTTTAGCTGTTTATTAATTTTAGGTTTTTCTAATTCTTGGAATTGAAATAGCTATTACACTGTTGATCATCATAATCTTATCAGTGTTGTAAGTTGTCAATCAACCATAGAAGTAAATATTTTGTAGAGAGACAGTTCATAAAACACCTAATCCATGGACAGTTTTACCTTGGATATTGATGTACGTTTTTAGTTATTGCAATCTTATCATTATTATCATTTGTTGACTTAAAAGTAATAATACAAATTCTAATCAAGTTTTCCGAAAGTTTATTTGTCACATTCAATTATGTACCCATTTGGAACATCATGTCAATCAACACAATTTGCTCATCACATTAATAGACGGATATCGGTGATCAGGAATCCATTATCAAATAATAATAAGTCGTACATGCATGCTGTCTGAATTATGTTAATGAATAATGATCCCATCACTTTTATTACAGTTTATAATGAATAACAATCCAACTTTTCTACTCTTTATGGAGCTTGTCTTAATTTTTAAGCTACATGTTATTCCCTGAAAAAATTTCCATCATATTAAAACACAATTATATGAACGAAGAATATTCTTTTCAATGAATTTCTCATCAGGTACTCTACAATTATAAATTAATAATCCATAAAAGAAGGTTGACCAAATTTAAGGCAGAGTACATCAATTTAACATAACTGTAATAGGTGAATCAAGGGAGTGTTGTTTGTCATATAAAATAATAATAAGATCGAATCGTCAGTGTTTTGGGGGATGACTAATATGAAGTGTTAACTTGAATCAGTTTATAGGTGAAATGAAATCGTAAGATAAATGATGATCAGAATATATGCATAGTTGACATGGGGGTGAGAGATAGAAAAATGCGATTACAAATCAGAAATTACGTAATATGTAGAATAATATAAATTAGGTCAGATATAGTAGTAGATTGGGGGTGGATGATAAATAAATTTCTCTAAAAGGTTAACAGATGTGATAATAATAAGAAGAATAATGATTGATAAGATGTGTAGATAAACTAAGTTGGAGATATAGAAATGAACATTAATCAAATTAATTTCACCATATTCCCAAAATTGATTATTAACAAGTTGACCCTGAAGTTGACCAGGGTAAAAGGAGCGGCTGTATATATTTCTTTTGGATGCAGAGCTCTGGCTTTTTGATTCGAATAGTAATTGCCTCAGCCGTCTGTAGGATTCTCTGTCTGACAGAATTAGGTAGACTCCTATTTAAACGATATATTATTGTGAAAGATTGCTCAATGTCGGCTCTATGTCCCGTCTGAACTAAATGGGCTAAAACAGAGCTGTTAACCGTTCTGACTACACCTTTGCTTAACCACACTGGAAGGTGTTCACGAGCCCGAGTATACAAATTCCTAGAACATTCGCCTATATACGATTTTTGTATTTTATCAAGCAACGTTGGAATTTGTGCTAAATATGCTACTACTACTGTTGTGAACAGAACACGACTGTTGGACAATGGAATGTATTTAAGCAAATATTACAAAGTATCCCAGTAAATTGTAATAACCATACAATGGACAGTTAATTTGCAAATTAACAACCAATAGTCTCCATGTTCGCTGTTTCTTCTTTAATTGCATTGCTCATGCATTTTGCAAACGATTGTGCTTTATTTCAGTTCTTTCCTGATCGGTCTTCTGCGAAAATACATTCTATGTCTGACCCACACCATATACTACTTATATGGATATAAGTAGATCACACCACACTGGTCCCCCCTTTAAAGCATTCGTTCATGCGGTGGTTCTGCTCGCCATGCCACTATCTTCTTCCACTGCAGTCTGTGACAAACTGTCCGTTAGAATGTCGAGTCTGCGGCGCGCTGAACTCCATAGCTCCGTCGACCTGCCGTGGCACCAACATCCGCATGCACCCGGCACCTGGGACGTTGAACACCCGTACTCCACCGGCCTGCTGAGCCATCTACATCCGATGTCCGCCCAGCAGCCGCACATCCCACTGCTCCTCTCCGTCGACAGCACCCGCCGCAACCAACGCCGCCCCGCCAGAACGCTCCACTCGACGCCAACTCTCCGCACAAGACTGGCCCAACTAGCACCTCAACTCCAGACCCGCAGCGGCCGTCCGCACAACAGCACCCATCCTCCTACTGGTTGGCAGCGACACCAAATGTAGTGAATGACAACACAGATGAGGACAACCAACCAAATATTTTGCACAAATTACAACGTTACTTGGTAAAATGCAAAAACCATACCATAATACTCTATTTGCAAAATGTTCTTCAATTGTCTCAGGCTTCATCGTTCCATGATTTTCACACAAATTGCTTTTTATTTCTGTTCTTCTCTTCTTGATCCTCTCAATCTTCTGCTGTCAGATATTCTATTCCTTGCTCACCATATATACTACTTATGTCAATATAAGTAGCTCACACCACACAACAACAACAAATACTACTACTACTATTGCAATTACAAATATAAATACAACGAATTCAAAAAACCGTAATACAACCACAAACAAAATTACTATCACCACGTCACACTCCCCACATTCTCACTCCATCCTGTGTCACTTCCACACTTCATATTATTCATTCACAACACCGATCAGTCACAGTCCCCTGCCTAGTCGCCCTCACAAACACAACATCGTCTCCTCACTGTATCCAACTACTACTACTACTTTTTATCTTCAAATGTTGTAAGTTATCTTCGCAATAGCTACTGTCACGCAGATGAAGGCTGTTTGTATGTTATAATTATACTTTGTAGGTGGATGACGAGAAACCGCGAAATACGGGAAATTCATGTTATCCTGCCACATTAATTGTTCTTGCTTAACTAGTGTTACATTGACTAGCTTGACGAGGTAGAGATTAGTGGATCGATTCACATGGTGATGAGTTGTGAGCGATTGTGTGATGGATGGATGGCAGGATGGATTGATTGGTTGATGTATTGGGAGAATGATTGAGTGAGTGAGTAAATGAGTGAGATGTTGAGTGATTGATTAAGAGTGTGAGGTAGAGATGGTTTCCATAAGGTCTTCTGAATGAATGAATGACTGACTGACTTATTGACTGATGTCTTTCAATGTTTATAGTATTTTAGGAGTATTTGCGTTCTCCTGAAAATTCCAGAATACTACTGAACATATTAGTGGTGTAGTAATAAGTCAATCAGAAGCTCTACATGTGAGTTTTCATGTTCGCGATATTTCTAGCAGAACGTCGCATCAAACTGTGATTGGATAAAATGTTTCTTAATATTTCCTGAGCTAATCATGTTTATTGCGGGAAATTTTCAATATCGCTCCAATAAACACAAAGTGACTTTTATTTCTCGATGTCTGTTTCGCAACAACCTGATTTTTCAGCAAGGGGATTGAATCAATTTTAATTGTTGCACAAAGTTACATTGATTAATGTTTTTCAAAGTTTTTTTAACTGTCTGGAAGATTCATCTGTACAATCCTCAAATGAACTATTCGAAAATTTCTCTTCTCCAGTATCAGTATTGATTCCTGATATTTCTGAAACTCAGTGAAAGGAGATGCGCTGGAAGTACCAGTGATCATTGTTGTGAACTCATATGTCTTTTGTACAGATGTGTGCCTTACATCTTACTTATCTAAACAAGGATGTGTATTATAAATGATAAAAAATAGGACATCTGTGTCAATCAGAGAAGATCAACGACTATGGGAAATGAATTTAGGGTCTTATCACAGATGAAGCAAGTAAAAAGTGAACACATAAATAACACAAGAATAAGTAGTGCTGTAAATTGATACCAAGAAATAAAATCTTAGACGATGTGTATAACTAAATAAGATAGATGGTTTGTTAGAACACCGCATCGATCGTTATAAAAAACGAATCTTGAAAAATACTTCAAACTACTATGTAGTGAATAGTAGTGTGGTGTTTTTGTACAGAAAAAGCGCGAGAAGAGGTTTACAGAACAAGAGGCAATGAATTTGGGCTTGTCATTCAAATCAAGGAAATGGGCTAATGATAATCTCATGGAGAGTGACGACAGTCGAGCTTTTCAATGTCTCCATCATGATTTACGGTCAATAAGTCATTCACAGTGACGAAGAAAGTTTATTGTTTCTATGAGATAACAAATGGTAATGAATATCAATATCCGATGTTGAGAAAATAAAATAGAGAGGTCAATTTTGTTTTGATTCACTCAATCAACTAACTGAGATCTATTGTTCGAGATATAAGCTACTGAATACCACACCTCTTTGTGAATATGATGTCTAAATTAGCTAAAATAGTTAGTAGGCGTTATGGTTTATGTTTATCGAAACTTGTTGGCAAAATATTGATGAATTTTTGGTGAAATTAGAGGTGGACCGAGTTCTTCCTTATGTAGTTATAGAAAGACATTTCAAGTGATCATGGTTTATTGTGTAAATTATTGACACTTACTATTTAACATCATGAAACAGCAAAATACTGAGTAGTTGTTTTGTTCTATGAAGCAATTGCTTAGCAATACGCTTTTACAATTCAACTATAGATTGAACCTGAACGTTTCAGCGCTAAAATCGGGATTTTAACATCTAAACTATTGAATTTGAATGAATAGTATAGCTTACAGTCTTAAATCTGAGATATCATTCATTACGATTGATGATATTTGTCATATAACAGATATGGTAGAACACTGTTTTGATCACTACTTTTCATTAGAACTCTGAGAATAACTGCGGCACACAATGTTACTCACTATTAGGGCACATCATGATTGATATTCTATCGGTTTTCTTTCTTTTCAAACGGTAATAAATTTTCTTACTCGCAATTTAATTCATTCATCAATGAAGAGTACAAATTGTCACGGACGGGAACAGGTATATATATTCATGAACTGATTGCTTGTATAATGATCATTTTTTTAGGCTAAGTAATAATGTATTGTCAATGAGCATGTAGATTTGAATATGTTCTTGTTAAACAATGGAATATTTTGTGAATTATCACGAACTAATAATAACCAATCACTGGAATAGATGTGAGAGAAAGTAAATTCTCAACCAATTATTACATTTCTATGGATGTCATTCGATTCAGTTGATCATTGATCACTGCTTATCAGTGTGAACAGAATGTGACTGGTTATATGATGCCTTTCCACAGCATCATACAATGAAGCATTCAAAATTAGGTTTGTGATTGTCAGTTGAAGTAGTATGATTTATATAATATAGAACATTTCATCTGAAGACTAAACGGGCGTCTTTTCTATGTGTTCTCCTATTGTGTTAATAAAGATATCTATCAGTTTAATGACATTCATTTGAAAGTCATAATGAACAGAACATTCAACTTTCTTTAAATATTCTTAGAAGCTTCTGCTTGAATGGAATAATGACGTAAAGCAGCCTAATATTTTGTAGACACACAGGTCATAGTATGAGCAAATCTGAGTTATTCAACGTGTAGTCCATAAAGTACTTGTGATAGGAGAGCGAATTTACGTTAAATCATGGAAGAAGCTTGAAATGAGACTAGTCAGTCTATCAGTTGCTATGGCCTATAACTCATTTGTTGAATGCTCATAGATTTGTAAATCACTTTACTTTTTCATTGCTTTCTCCTAGTCCATGTCGTCCATTCCGACTTTGGCATTTAGATCTATGAGAATGGTGAGGTCCTTTCTTGAGCACTCAGCTAGGATAGATTATAGTTTCTAACAGAAGTGACATTTGCTGTCATTGGTGGATTCACATCATCGGGTAACATTCATTGAGATCCCCTCCTTTATTGTTTTCAATGATGCTTTGATAATTTCGGATCCATGAGATTCCCATTCTACAAGTGCATTTTGTACTTCTCTGGACAGCATTAGAGCAACTCTCTGAGTGTGTGGACCATTTTTCGTCTTCATGATCGGAGTACAGCAGAATGTTTTCAGTATCTAGTCATTGCTCTTCAGCTTGCGTCCAACTACATTGAATATCTGGACAGCGACAATCTCTATTTACAATGTGCTATAACGTTAAAGCATTTCAATATAAATAAGGTGACTATAAACTGGTTCGGTGTCGACTTCAGACTGTGTGTGTCTCGTACATCTGGAATTTCATGTGCAACGCTGAAATCCTATGTCACGTGAACTATTCTCGCATGTAGCCATCGAATCATCATTCAAACCGTAAGGCTCTTGTGTGATGCTGATGAATTAAAAAAAAATTCTACTTAACATCATTTTCAAGAGAAAGCTTTGAAGGAAGCTCTTGTTCGTATTATACAATTATCAAGAATAAAATCATGGAAGGAATCATAATCTGTCTTGATGATACCTCTATAACCATAGTTTGTCGCTCGCCATTTACCTAACACGTAATAATCAAGTAACGAAATATGGAAGTGCTTATCTAGGTATTCATAAAGTGTTTCAACAGATCACTCCATCAAAATGAACACTCACACTGGACTCACAGTTGACTGCAATGATCATGAAATCACTTATGCGTAATGCTACGTAGTTATAAGTTAAATTTGTAGAACAGTGTTTAATATTTTATAAAAAGGATAACATCAGCTATCATGTTAACAATCGAAAGCATGTACAAAGTATCATGAAATAACTGTCCAAATTAGTAAGAAGACAAATGAAATTCTAAAGTATTCTAAAGAAAAGCAAAATTGAGACAACTTGTTCAGAGTTTTCAAAGGAATTTATAAGAATTTTTCATGAATCATTCATTACTTCTCTTTCTTCTAAGTAACCATCTCCAAATTATACAACCGACGCATATAAGAAATAGAGAGGCGACCAAAGGAATTACAACGTACAAGTACCAATGTGACATGTGTTGCTTATTTTCTTCCGTTGTTTTGGTAGTCTGAAGAAAAACAAAGAATTATCAATTTTTTACAAACATCAAATACTTACCAAGTGTTTATCTGTTTCTCCAGTAGTTTTCATGACGTTTTCACTAACCTGAACCTCAGTGATCCCCAATGTTGTTTCACTGTGTTTCATAGTTGTTGAACTATTCAAATCGTTGACATACGAGTTCTTCTAAATGATATAATCAGAAGCATTCATCACTAAACATCAAATATCATTCTTTTAATTCATTATTCATTACAAATCATTGTCAGTAATGATGACACAAAAGATCCTCATAAATAGTTGCTGAATTCGAATTCGCCAAATCATTCAGGATATCTACTAGTGATTTGACCATCAGTGTGTTCAGTATTTACTGTCCTACATCTAGTTGACGATTCATTTGCATGTTGAAGTTTGTGTTCTGGATGTCACATCTAATCACAACCCTGATATACATCAATAGACTTATAATTGAAGGCTTAATTGCAGCAATCTATCGTGGTTGCATATTTTTCAACAGAGAATCAGAAGTTATTGGTCTGGAATTCAACAATGGTAGTCTACATACCTTCGCTAATTATCCTAATAAGATACACAATTTCTAAGTGTTTATGCTTCTTCACTTAAACTGATTTCATCGGTATATTGTTACCATTGACATACATCTACGATTACATTTAGGACTTTCGAAATTACGGTTTATTCACTGAGCTGAAAACATAATTCGCTTTGAAACGATGGTGGTGAGCGATGCTTTGATTCATTTTCTACTCTTTTCACGAAAAGGAAGCATGTACTCATATGTCGTCAATTTATACAAAACTTTTATTTACTTACTGAGGATGGCTAACATGCCATTTCTTATTGATAGCAATAAAAGTATTTTTTCCAGTAAAAACATTTGCTCAGAATGTGAAATTTGAGGATATTGCAAACGAACAATGAAGTTTAATAAGTACTCACTTCAACACGGCAGTCATTTACTTTCAAGCCATGAGTGTCCTGATTGTTACTTTCTATACATTTCCCCCCTTTTTCACACCAAATACATGTCGTTTTCCATGTCTTTGCATTTTGACATGTCTCACTTGTATTGTACTGCGAACAAATTTCTATGAAAAGAATAAGGTGAATTCATTTGAAGTTAATGAATAGAAGAACAGAGAAATAAGAAACCTGTAAATATAACTCAATGACGTGATGGTGATTTCTGAGTTAAGTGATTTATCCATTCGGTGGAAAATGGTCAACATGGTGCATCATGCAAAACTCAGTACACCTTCAATTTCTCTTCTATTTCAAGACTGCATTCTTGGATTGAATGAAATTACTTTGAGTACAAAGAACAAGTGACGATTTTTTGACAAGGGGAAATTGATGACTTTTAATGACTGTTCGCATTCAGACATGTGCACACTACATTGTCACTGAGTTCAGCAAAGCATATTGCAATTGACTTTGATGGTTATACACTTTCTTTCCATGAAATCGTTTTTTTTTTGAATGAAATAATTGCCATAAACTCGGTTGACCATAGACACAAAATTCAAATTGAACTATGTTGATTCCATTAAACAACAAAGGAAAAGTGACATCGTTCTTCCATTCGTCAATGACAACTTCAATGCCTCAAAAAAGTTCTACATCATATATGCCAAAATAATAACGAACACTTCCTTGTCAATGCTCAATCGCTTACTGGCACCTAATATTTTTCGAAACCGAAAGCATTCCATCATTCATTTTGTGACTTTATGTTCAAGTTAACTTCATCAAGGTGAAAACTTTAATGCTGTTGAAATCCGGTCGTTATTCATGCTTAATATTCAACAACGAATCGACGAGTAGTTATAAATAGTAAGTTAAATGTCATTCAAGACACATGCCTGGATATCATTTATTAAATGATACATTGGATTTTCAATTTTCAGCGAACAAAAATGATGTATTCAAGTGTGAAAATAGTAAATGCTGATTAAATCAAATTTCATGTACCTCCGATAGCTTCAAACTCCACCAACGAACCAGTTTTGATCCATTTTTCTGGAACAGGTATCTCATGATCTGCGTTATCTTGTGTGACAAATTGAAAGGAAAAAGAGATTTAGAGTTTCGACTTCTTTTTAAAGCGAAACAAGTTTATTTGCTTCATTTGAGTAGAGGACCAATCAAGGATCTGTAGTACTTTTCATTACGTACACAGTGATGGCTGTCTTAAAAAAAACTATGGTTTACATTGCTCTGATTTTTGAAACCGGCCCGTTAAATTATAAATGAAATAGTAACGTTTCTGAGTTATTTAACGATGAAATCAGTTGGACGTCTGGGATAGATGCGTTCACCCCCCCTACATATTATTTCACAACGCATATTACACGGAGGCAACATTCAAATCTACAAATCAAGGAACAATAGTGATTTGTATATCAATCTCAGACGCGCATTTCTTCTTATTTATGAATTATCAGGGACTGAAAACCAGCACCATTCATTTCCATTTGCATTCGGTTGTCCACTTATCCGGTCAGTCCATATACTCAATGACTTGTGAAACTGTATGAAGCTTTAAATCATTTTTTCATTGTTATTGAATCTTCCAATTGATGTTGAGAAACCGTATTTGATTCCACTGCTATTCCTCATCCATCTTTATGCACAATGCTTGTGACTTCAAGCAACATCCAGATAATCCTAACAGAGTGCATATATATATGAATAAGGGACTGATCAGTTGCAGTACAAATCACTCATGTGAGGACTGAACCGAAGAATGCAAAATGACAATTATCTTCATTGTTTAAATGCCACTTAAATCTGTCAATGCAGAACATCTGGCGGAACATTTGATGAACCTTCTCACATTCAATCATAAACACTGTATCTCACCTAATCACGTACACTCAAAACTCCTTTTCAAACTCAGCTTCATCTCTCAACAACACATGTTTATTTCAGTGAAGCAAGACGATTGAAAATTTCGTAGATGAAATATCATTTCCAAACTAGCACTGCTTTATTTCTGCTTCATACAAAACCCACTTCCTTTAACATTGAGTGTTGAGATGATCAAAGACTGCAAGTTTGATTGTATTATTGTGAGTGTGTGAATACATGAGTGGATATATTTTGAGTTTGATATAGTTATTCACATATCCATATCTGGGTGAGTCTACCGGTAATCATAACTGTAAGAAGTTCCCATATTTAGACTGTGTGTTTACGAAAATCACTCCAATTTCATTCTGCACAATGAGCCACAACACTTAAATGACATTTCCACAAACTGACTTTACGCAAGAAGCAACTGAATAATAATCACTGTTACAAAGCTCTCTCTGATAAGATACATAGATTTTGTTCATTAACATGCTCATGACCTGGTACAAGTAAAGAGTAATATAAAACTAACTGGTGATTGATGACGTACGTCACTGTACATCAAATAGTTAACGAGATTCGGCCTGCTTAAACATCTGGACAACCTGTTCCCGTCACCTAGATATTTCAAAAAGGTATCTAAATTTGTTTGTTTTGATACATCATTATGCCTAGTAATTGCACAACCTATACAGGTACATTTCTGAAAAGAGTAAGAGTTTTAGCTATATTGGTTGTAGAAGGCAATATGCAGCGAGAAGAATGTACATTATTCAGATGTCAATTGACTGGGCTGCAAACTTCCAAGTGGCGATCAGTAAATATTAATCGTCAGGAAGGACGAAGAAGTAAGAAACGGAAACTTGCTGAAGTACAATGTGCTGAGAATTCTATATTGTACCAAAAATATAATATTGAATAAAGCTAATAATAATAATAATAGTAATAATTTGCTGAAATATTTCTTACCTCCTTCACAACGTATTATTCCAACGATTCCCGATAGCAATTGACTTTCCTCAATTTCCGTAGGAATCTGAAAAAAGATTGTTGAATGTCTGAGACAAGATCTGCTACCAGACAATCATTTATATGAAATCGAATAATTACTGGAGAAATGTATCATCATTTGGATCATCTCATTAAAAGCCAATTAATCGCACTCACACTAGGCATACTGATATTCTCAGTTTACTTTCCATGAATGTTCCATCCAATCTGTATAGATATTCCTGTCAACTTCGGTCAAGTGTTATGGACTATCTCTCAATCATGATATGTGGCGATAACTTGTGAGATGAATATCACCGTCTATTGAAATGAAATGAGATTGTGAATATTTGACAGGATGCTGCACTAAGGATATTCCACAGTGAACATTCTGAACAGCCGATCGTCACTACATGAAATAAAACTCAACAGAATATGACTCTTTCCGTATAGTAGGCAAACATTTACAGCCAGTTACTATTTGGCACAAACAGGTTATTATTTCATGTGAAAGAACTTTGCTTCTGTTTATTCACTGTTCATACCACTTGCTTGATTAGTGTCACTAGAGGATTGATAATAGTGTCAACTAGTCTGCTTGCCTATTACACAATGTTGATCTTTTTCTATCGTGTTCAGTGTAACTAGATTAATTTGATAACATTGATCAACATGAAATAGTAGAATGATGTGAATTACTTGAAACAATATCACATTTTCACTAAATTATGCAACTCACGTTATCATAATGGAACGATACCTTCCCATTTGGGTCTATTAAACTCGTCATTGTGGCTGTAGCCTCTACAGTAAGAAGAATATTGATACTCAGGACTTAGGATTTAAACGATGAGCAAGTTATTGTTTGATGTAACACTGTGTACAGATTTCAGTGGATATTAACTGTGTTATCTGAAATGCTTTCTTCAGATTTATTGGTAATAAATACATTGAAGTGAACGTCATTGAAATGAGATGGACATGAATCCCTTCCAACAAATGTCAAATGCCTAGATTCTGAAGTTGTATTACTATTATCGAAACAATAAATCGTCTACTTTACCATCAGGGATCTGATAGTCAAGGATATAATAACATTCGCACAATATCCTAAATAATTCAATTTGAAACAATGGACACTCAGTACGCATTACATGATCTTAGGAGTGTTTGTCTACATATTGAACTTGAGAAATAAATTGGTGGTATATATATAAAGATTTCTATCGGTTAACTGATTCTGACTTCAGTGTCCATTTGTTGTAGATGAGAAACGAATAGCTTTAGATAACGATTTCTGAGTTTGCAAGGTTAATATTTGGGAATGACTATGCGATGAAAGGATGTGTAAATGAATATTATGTGTGTAGCAATGACTTTGTCACCAATGTAGAACACAATTCATTTATTTTGGAACACAGACTGTTTATCAAGTTCCACTTAAACCCGAAATGATAATAAATCTCTGCATTCATTTTCCAACAAGCAGAATGAGATTGTGATTTCAATTATCTATGATGACTTATTTATTGCCTGTCAAATCCAGTCATTCACAGTTCATTTCAACTGTTCCCAATGTTTCAATGAATGTACTAAATTAGTCAGTGAATTTCCCATTCAATTCTACTATCGTTTGCCAGAACAGAAGCACCTTCATTCTTTTGTTAGTATTTTGGAAGGTTGGATTTGTTTAAAATGAACAGACAATGTATCAGTAATCACAGTTACTGAAGATGTAAGTGTAAAAATTTCACGCGTGTGATCAAACGATCGAACAATGTTCACTCACCTGAACCATTAACGTTTATCGAAAAATTCCTTTGGACTCCTAATAATTCCTCTGAAATATTGAAAATCAAAAGGGATGTTTAAATATTTGAATATTGATTATCTTTCTTTTTTAATCAATATACTTTTTAACTCGGGCTGCCTACTTATACGAGTCGTCTTCTTCATTTACAGGTTTAAATGAACCGGAGTAGTTAAATGCTAAATCATCTCTCATGAGAAAATTCCAAGGAATATTATCAACTCAACAATATGATAAACGTTTCAACACAATCAACTGAGAATATTTCACTTCTTTAAAATTTCTTCTAGAAGCTTCTGACTGAATAATCGACGTTTAATAGGTATTCGACAATAGAACAACAAAGTGCTTTTTGGGATCCCGTTGTTCATCAATTCTTACGTTTGACCGAAATAAATGAATTTTCACATTGATGTTTTAAGTGTTCTGGTATGAGTAAATCATCTTGTACTAACGGATTGTTCACCGACGTTCATTGGTCAGTTGTTTCACGAGGTGCATCTATTCGAAATGCATAATCATACAAATACAATAACAAAAATAGTCTTGAATAATCGAATAATAACACACAGCAACTCCGAGAAAATAAACATTCAAGAATCAAGTAAGTGCTATAAAAGGTCTAGAGGACTTCAAATATAACTTGATAATTCATAAGCTTCAATAATCCAAACCTCCTTCTCTCACAACATGGCTTACTAGTGCACAAGTGATCACTTTTATTCACTCAGTCTACCACGAAGTATCGTGTAGATGAGATATCTTCTGTTTTGTAGTTTTCATAGACTGGGTGATTGGTAATTTGTACACTTTCGCAATTATACCACATGGTTTATCATTTCTCTTCGATGAAAGTGTATATTTTTAGGTAGATCTCTGTTTAATTTACCAATTTCACTTTACAGCATTCACCACCTGCTGCGATACACATACGTTCTATTGTAAAAACAACACAAACACAACAATCACTTTGTATTGGTTACCACTCCTGTAATCATCAAGATAAATACTGAAACTTTTATACAAAATAAGTGTGAGAAAAGTGATCAAAACAAAGAATAACTGAATAATATAAGAACTCACCCTCATTCAAAACTCTAGATTCAGACTTCTCATAGTTTTCTATGTAATTAATAATAGTTCCAATGTAAGACCATTCAAAATCATATACATTATCTCCATCTATTGGATGAAAACATGTCACATTATTGATAAATTTGTAATGAATGAATAAACAATTTTAAATAATAAAACTGAACTGTATTTGGTTTGTTATAAAGAGTCAAACCATGTTGAACAATGAAAAGAAAATATTGAAAGAAGTTTTGCATGTTACAAGGAGCACAAAACTGATTCACTGAAGAAAATGGAATCAACTTCGATTCATGATCAGAAATTTTATCAAGAAAACTCATTAATAAGTTGACTTCAAAGAAAAATTTATGACTTACGATCATCGTTAAAATCAATTTCTTGTACGTGATAACCGTAATAACTAGACGATAATTGAGGATAAGCCTCCTAAAATGTTGCAAACATATAGCAAAATATTTTTATTATAAAGTGTATTCAACTAACGTATGTGCGATTTATCTTATTTTTAAAACGGTCACTCGAAACTGATTGAGATTGGTTACGTTGAATCCTCATTGAATAATTATAATGAAGAGACTGGAATATGTGTGTTAGAATGTATCTGATTACTTACATATCGATACGTATCATTTTCAATAATGACAATCTCAGACTTTTTGCAATAGTCATTGCAGTTGAAACGTTTGTAGAACCAAACGAAGATTAGATAAATTAGTATCCATAGACTAGGCGAAAAGTTATATCTAAAATAATCAGGATGAAGAAATCAACGGTATCTCATTCAATCAAATTTCAATTTGAGTTCGTATGTTCATTCAACACTTACCTCATCTTATCGTGTCAAGTTATAACTCAAATTTTTATAGAATTTCTCTGGTTTATATAGACTTTTGAAGTGTAAGATTGTTCTCTTCTGATTCGATGATTCAAAGTAACCATTAGAAAGATCGAATTTAATAAAATCAGATGTTCATTATAAACCAATCATGGAGGTATATGACATTATCGTAAACCAATATTCTTCTGGCTGTTGAGATTATGAGCTGAAATTTATTCACTGTTGGTTGAAATTCCTGACCCCTGTGGATAAAACTTCTCTTTGATGTGATAGACGATATTCTGAAATGGGTGATTGGTTAAATTGTACTTCAAAATGTGTGCTCATAAGTTTACGAACAAACTGTTTGTTGTCTGTAATAATGTATTGATTATTCGTCAACGATGAGTTGTTTTGACTTGATTGGGTAAAATCAAAGTAGCACAAATTGTTTTTAATTGGATGGTAACAAATACACTTTTACACATGGATTTTGTTCTAATGAGCACATTTTGTTAAACGATTTCACCGTCGTTTTTTTCGAAAATTGTAACTTCTGAACAATGTCACATCCATTCTATTTCTATATCACATTATAACACTGACTGTCAATAGATGTCTAGATCAAAATGGATAATGATTTTCCTATTGAGTACATTGAAATAGAATCAATTGTGCTCATAGATTGAGTTCCAAAATCATTGTAATCAGAGGAATATAATGCATTCCGCCGAAAGTGAACTGTTGGAAATGTAGAACGATTTGTTATACCAAACACATTCGAAACTATAACATTGATCATTGTATCTGAAAACTAAAATGTGTGTCGATACTCAAATAGAAGACTGATTTCAATCTGTATGTTTCAATGATCTATTCACTCACATCATTTCAGCTTGCATTTTATATCATCTGTGTTCAAATATAAAAGAAAATCACAGTGATAAGATAATGTCAAGTGTATACTTAACTTACACTAAACATTGAATACTGACGAATGAATAAAATTCTATACATTCATAACTGAATAATAATTTTGATGAAATAAGTCAGGAATGTTTGTTTTTGCGTGATATTTAAAAATAGTTTCCCTCCTGAAACAGTAGAGGTGTTTTGTTTTACTTTAGACAGATATGGAATAACATTAGGATCACTTCAATTTTTTTTTAATAATTTTTTTTGTCCCCCTTAATCAAAAAATTTTCATCCCATTTTCCAATTTTTTTCAATCCGTTTCGTCCAATAAAATTCCTAGTTGTGAATGCGTTATAATTGGTTATGTAATTCTTGAAATTCGTATAAAAGCTCTGTACTTATCGATATAGATAATTTTCTTCACAATATGGACGTCAGTAACGCGCAAGTTAGAGGCTCTGTTGTTCCTCACGTAGTCACAGAAACGGAAAATGTATTTTTGAATACATTGTATCTGGTAGCGCTTCCATCACTGGAAGCGTTAAGGAGCGCCATTAGAACATCTGCATCCAAACTCGCAAACTACCTTCACATTAATCTTAGATTTATCTCATCATTTATATGGTTAAATGAGATGAATTGTTGATCTATGCATAGATCTAATGATTAACAGTCAATAAATATCTATATACGCATTGATGTATCTCCCATTCGACCTTCTGTTTCTTCGTAATTCTCAAATATGTGATATAGAACAATACAAACTAATGTTTACATTAGAATAATATGTACTAATGAATAATTTTCATAGTTGAAAGCGTGAGTCCATTGAAGCTAGACCACCAGGGAGAACATAAAAGCTCTGCATGGCCGTTCCGTTCCATTATGGGACTCCTCAGCAGTGCCCATCCATGATTCCGCACTCGCGAGATTCGAACCCAGGATCTACCAGTCCCGTACCAGTGTATCCAAGTTTTCTCTGATGGTTTAGCTTCAGTTGACTTACGCTTTCACCTATGAAAATACTAAATCTCCCCAAAACCCCTTCTGGTAATAATAATGCATAGTTCTTTACCGGTTATAGTAACTAAGGTCAATTAAATCAAGCGAAAAACTATGTATAGATCATTGGTATCCATGATGATTATCTTATTCTTATACAATACACCTTTCTATTATTGAATCTATATAATGAAGTCATTGAAGTATAATAATTGAATTCTTTAATTTGATCTTATCTTGGAACAAATATAACAAAAGGTTGAAATCTGTAAAACTGTCTTTTATTAACAAACAAACAGGCAAACAAATGATTTAATACTATATATATGTATATGAAAAAGAAAGTTATTACATACATAAACAGTGCCCTGATTGATTATTACCTAAGAATTACAATTGATTGTTCACTAGGTGATAATCAATGTCATGCGTGTCAAGTTCTTCTTAGTGCTGATCGAATGTGAACGTTTCTGACTGTGAAGTTGAGTGACACCAGATGGAATCGGTCAGGGAGCATCAGTTCAATCAAGATTACTGGTACACATTGCTGACCAGTGCCATATAGTACGAAACCCGGGTTCAGGGTTTCCTGTTGACCATCTCCAACCAATATCTTATTACCTAAGGATGTTATACTTCTAGGTGAACTGTTCAACTTATAGATTTATAATAATCATATCTAATTCATATGGGAGCGTACACGCAGATATCATCAATTGTGGTGTATTCTACTGATGTCGGCAGATATAAGTAGTATGCACCACAAATCGCAAGTGGAATGCCTGAAGGCAGAAGGTTAAAAAGATCAAAGAGAAGAGAACTATGACAAAGGAGCATTGGAGACGAAAGAACAATGAAGTCCGAGACGAATGACTAGTATTTGCAAAAGGAACAGTCAAGTTTGAGACAATTGATGAACAAAAGGTTAATAAGATTAAAGTAAAGAGAACAAGAACAGAGAATAATTGGTATGAAAACGAGAGAACAATAAAATCTGAGACAGTTGGCTGATATTTTACAAATGAAGTATTTACTGTATGACTCAGATTTTACTAAGACGTTCTGTAATCACGTATTAAAATACATTTGGTTGTCCCAAATTGTGTCCTCGTCTACTACATAATAACAATGGATGATAGTTGGATAGCTAGTTAGAGGGAAACCTAGTAATCTAAAGCTAACTTGATAATAGTGTTACCTGTGTGTCACTGAGATCAATATGCGAATATACACAATTATGAAAAAGATAGATTTTCAATGACAATTTAGCTAACGGCATGTATCTGAATAATTCCAATGTTTCGTCCAACTAACTAGTCTGGACCTCTTTAAAGATTTTAAAAAATTTAAAAACTAAACTATGACAAAATTTCTGGGTTCGAATCTTGTGAGGCGGGATCGTGGACGTGCACTGCTGAAGAGTCTCACAATAGGATGAAATGGTCGTACAGTGCTTCTAAGTTTTTCATGATGGTCTAGCTTCAATTGATTCATATATTCAACTACAAAATTTATTTTCCTAATTATTTTACCTACTTCCTATTATGAAACATTGATTCAAGCGTTTAGTACTTTTTTTTATTACTGATGTTAATGCATCATAGTAGTAATTTGTACTTTGTACTTATGATGTTTAGTTTTGTAATTTATCTAATTGTTATCATTGAATAGTAAATTACCTTGATTAGTTTAATGCTTTTATTATATCCATATAAATACTACTGTATATTAGCGTAAAAGCTAATGGATATCTGATAGGAAACAATATGTATTGTTCTAATTTACCTTGTCGGGATATTGAATATGATATGAATTAGCTACATTCTAAATGATTCGAATTGAGGTTTGTGGATATTGTAGGGTTGCGAAAGATCATGGATCGATTGATGTTAGATGTTAGCACCGTTGTATGCCAATTCAGTGGTTTAGAGGTTAAGCGTCTGTGCACAAGACAGAACATCCCATGTTCGAATCTTACGTGAGGGATTGTGAGTGCATACTGTTGAAGAGTTCCATAAATGAACGAAGCAGCTATCCAGTACTTCCAGGTTACCAGTAGTGATCTATCTAATATTGACTTGTGAATTCAACTTTGAAAATACTACAATCTCCACAAATCCGCATTGCGGTAACACTAAAAGACTGATATTGGAGAAGAAAGTTATTTCACGGGTTCTTTTTCAATTGATGATCTGTACGTAGTAGAACAATCTTCAAGAAACGAAACTCATCGATCAATTAAAAAGAATGAAGACGTTTGAGGGAGGGAAATTTTCTTCTAGACAATATCATTTTCCTAAATCCATACAATGATGTTTACAGGAAAATCACATCACATAGGACAGTCTATAGTAAAATAGAGGAGCGTTGCTTCACTATCAGAGATCGAATGTAGAAATCTATGAAATATGTGTTGCATCATCCACTGAGTAGTATAATGAACTTTTGGCGGTATGTTTTATATAGTTGAGATCATGAGTCAATTGAAGCTAGACCACCATGGAAAACCCGGAAGCACTGGACGACCGTTTCGTTTTATTGTGGGACTTCTCAGCAGTGCGCATCCATAATCCTGCCTCACGAGATTCGAACCCAGGACCTACCAGTCCTGCACCAGAGCACTTAACCTTTAGACCACCGAGCCGGCCGGAATCCAACGGTGTTAATGTCTAACATCAACCAATCCACGGTATGCTTGAATATCTGAGCTATCTGTTCCTGTCATTTAGATATTTCAATAAATTATCTGGTTTTTCGTTTGTTTGCTTTAACATATCATTATGTCTAACTATCATATAACCTATTCAGGTGCGTTTATGAAAAGTTTACAACCTTTCTCTGTGCAAGTTACAAAAATGTACGATCATCAGAGACATCATGGTTGCTGGCGATAAGTATTGAAAAGAATGAACATTATTCAGATGTTGATTCTTGAATTGATGACATCTAACTGGCGATCACTCAATATTTATCGTCAGGAAGAAGTAAATAACAGAAATTTATTGAAATACTTTGGGTTGAGAATTCTATATTGTACTGAAAAATATAATATCGAATAAAGCCATCAATAATAATAGTAGGTCATTATCATTGACGAAG